TTCCTTCCTTCCTTCCTTCCTTCCTTCTTCCTTCCTTCTTTCCTTCTCTTCCTTTCTTCCCTTCCTTCTCTCCTTCCTTCCTTCCTTCCCTTTCCTTCCTTCCTTCTCTTTCCTTCCCCCTTCCCTCTCTCTTTCTCCTTCCTTCCTTCCTTCCTCCATCCTTCCTTCCCCTTTGCCTTTCCTTCCTTCTCTCTTTCCTTCCACCCCTCCACCCTCCCCCTCTCTTTTTCTTCCTTCCTCCTTTCCTTCTCCCCTTTCATTCCTTCCTTCTCTCTTTCCTTCCACCCTTCCCTCTCTCTTTTCCTTCCTTCCTTCCTTCCTTCCTTCCTCCATCCTTCCTTCCCCTTTACCTTTCCTTCCTTCTGTCTTTCCTTCCACCCCTCCACCCTTCCCTCTCTCTTTCTCCTTCCTTCCTTCCTTCCTTCCTTCCTTCCTTCCTTCTTTCTCCCCCCTCCCTCCCTCTCTCCCTTCCCTCCTTTCCCTTTGCCTTTCCTTCCTACTCTCTTTCCTTCCCCCCTTCCCTCTCTCTTTCTCCTTCCTTCCTTCCTTCCTCCCTCCCTCCCTCCCTCCCTTCCCTCCTTCCCCTTTGCCTTTCCTTCCTACTCTCTTTCCTTCCACCCTTCCCTCTCTCTTTCTCCTTCCTTCCTTCTTTCCTTCCTCCTTCCTCCCTTCCTTCCCCTTTCCTTTCCTTCCTCTCTCTTTCCTTCCACCCTTCCCTTTCTCTTTCTCCTTCCTTCCTTCCTTCCTTCCTTCCTCCATCCTTCCTTCCCCTTTGCCTTTCCTTCCTTCTCTCTTTCCTTCCACCCCTCCACTCTTCCCTCTCTCTTTCTCCTTCCTTCCTTCCTCTCATTTCCTTCCTTCCCTCCTTCCTTTCCCTCCTTCCTTCCTTCCTTCTTCCTTCCTTCCTTCCTTCCTTCCTTCCTTCCTTCCTTCCTTCCTTCCCTTTTGACTTTCCTTCCTTCTCTCTTTCCTTCCACCCTTCCATCCTTCCCTCTCTCTTTCCCCTTCTTTCTTTCCTTCCTTCCTTCCTTCCTTCCTTCCTTCCTTCCTTCCTTCCTTCCTTCCTTCTTCCCTCCCTCCCTTCCTTCCCTTTTGCCTTTCCTTCTCTCTTTCCTCCCTCTCTCCATTCCCTTCCACCCATTCATCCTTCCCTCTCTCTTTCTCCTTCCTTTCTCCTTTCTCTTTCCTTCCTCTCCCTTTCCTCCCCCTCCTCCTCCCTCCTTCCCTCTCTCTCTCTCCTTCCTTCCTTTCCTCCTTCCCTCCCTTCCTTCCTCTCTCTTTCCTCCCTCACTCCATTCCCTTCCATCCTTCCCTCCTTACTTCTCCTTCTTTTCTTCCCTTCCTCCCTTCCTTACCTTTCCCTCCCTCCTTCCTTTCCACTTTCATCCTTCCTTTCCTCTTTCCTCCCTCCCTCCTTCCCTCTCTCTCTTTCTTCTTCTTTCCTTCCCTTTTGTCCTTTTCCTCTTTCCTCCCTCCTTCCCTCTCTTTCTCTCTCCTTCCTTCCTTTTTGCCTTTCCTTCCTTCTCTCTTTCCTTCCTCCCTCCTTCTTTCCTTCCCTCTTCTTCTCCCTCTTCCTTTTCTCTTTTATTCTTCCTTTCCTTCTCCCTTTCACCCTCTCTTCCCTCCCTCCGTCCACCCTCTCTCCATTCCTTCTTCTCTTTCTTTCCTCCTTCCCTTCCTCCCTTCCTTCCCTCCCACTTTCATCGTTCCTTCCTTCCCTCTTTCTTCCCTCCCTCCTTCCCTCTCTCTCTTTCTTCTTCCTTCCTTCCCTTTTGTCCTTCCTTTTTTCCCTCTTTCCTCCCTCCTTCCTCTCTTTCTCTCTCTTCCTTCCTTCCTTCCTTCCTTCCTTCCTTCTTCCTTCCCTTTTCCTTCTCTTCCTTCTCTCTTTCCTCCCTCCATTCCCTTTCATCCTTCCCTCTCTCTTTCTATTTCCTTCCTTTCTTCCCATTTGCCTTTCCTTCCTTCTCCCTTTCCTCCCTCCCTCCCTTCTTCCCTTTCTTTCCTCCTTCACTTCCTCCCTTCCTTCACTGCCACTTTCATCCTTCCTTCCCTCCCTCCCTCCTTCTCTGGATGTAGGTGAACTACAACTCCCAAACTCCAGGTCAAAACCCACCAAACCCTTCCAGTATTGTCTGTTGGTCATTGGAGTTCTGTGTGCCAGGTTTGGTTCAATTCCATCATTGGTAGAGTTGAGAATGCTCTTTGATTATGGGTGAACTATGAATCCCAGCAAGTACAACTCCCAAAAGACAAAATCAAATAGAAGGTGTAAGGCAGGGGCGGCTTGTCCATTACGCGAAGTAAGCGGTCGCAGAACATTTTTTTTTGTCAGGGGCGCAGAGGCACCTCTGTAAATGCCCCTCGACCGCCACTTGAGGAGCGCCCCCTCAGCTCACAACAGCCCTAGCAGTCCGGGGGGAGCCTCGGCTTTCTTGCCTCGCTGCCGGGCGATCCTCTTCCCAAAGGGGCCGGGCCCTTGAGCCTCGCCTTTGCCCCTCTCGTTCCTGCTCCACCCGGCCACCGGGTGCGCGAGCAGAGCCGGCGCTCAATCGTTCTCTGCGTTCGATCCCTTCCCCATGACCGGCTCCCTTTCCCGATCCCCCGGCGCTCCACCCGCCTCCTCTCCTCTCCCCAATCCGCGGGTGGGCCAAGGGGCGGAGCCCCCGCGCCCCGCTTCGGGTCCGGAGGCGTGTCTGAAGACCCCAGCATGTGCACCAAAAGTCGCCTCTTCTCCTGACTTTCTCTTCAGCCATTGGGACCAAGAGAGAGAGAGAGAGAGCCCCTCCGGCTGGAGGTATCTCCCACCTCCGCTCCCTCCTTTGTTTTTGCGCCTACCTTCAGGAAAGGTGGGCATCTCCACCTCTCTCTCTCTCTCTCTCTCTCTCTTGGTCCCAATGACTGAGGAGAAAGTCAGGAGAAGAGGTGACTTTTGGTGCACACGCCGGGGTCTTCAGCACGCCTCCGGACCCAAAGCGGGCCAGGCAAGGGAGCAAGTGCGGCAAGTGTAGTTACTGGGATGTATAGTTCACCTACAATCAAAGAGCATTCTGAACTCCACCAATGATGGAATTGAGCCAAATATGGCACACAGAACTCCCACGACAAACAGAAAATATATATCAATGATTGGTTGGGGGGGCAGCCAAAATACTGTTTGCTTACCGTTGAAAATTACTCTAGTGTAAGGTTCCTATTTCGGACACGAATGTCGCAGCTTATTCTCGTTGCTGGTTGCTTCCCTCCCTTCCCATGTCATTGAAACAAGGTCCCCCAGCAAGATGAAAACGAGGACATTGCAATTAATGCGGCAGCATGTCAGTTTGATTATATTATCTGCATTCCGGACGCCGCTAACCGTTTTAAACGAAAGTCAACACGAGATTTGGGTTATTATTTTTTAGAAGGAAGGAAAGGGAACCGTATTATAAAGGGATCAAGATGCAAATCGTAGATATGGCGGCGGTTTAAGCTCAGGAGGAAAGAGAGGGAGGCAAAAGAAACGTCCTTTCGTCGAGCGTTGCATTTTTTGATCTGCTCGTCGGATCGATTCACAGCCAATCCTAAATTCGGAAGTTACTCTTTCCGAGTGTAACTTCCACTTCACCTAGAAACAACCAATCAAGTGACATGCCACAAGGCCACTACACCTAGCAACAGCCTTTCTGGTACAGGCAGACCAACAGACATACATATTTTGACTTCTGTATATAGCAGTAGTTCCCAACCATTTTTTTCCAGGGACCACTTTGACCAAAGACCACTTTGACTAGGTACCACTTTGACTAAGGACCACTTGACTAGGGACCACTTGACCAGAGACCACTTCACCTGAGACCACTTGACCAGAGACCACTTCACCTGAGACCACTAGACCAGGAACCACTAGACCAGGGACCACTTTGACCAGGGACCACTTTAATCAGGAACCACTTGACCAGGGACCACTTTGACCAAGAACCACTTTGACCAAGGACCACTTTGACCAGGGACCACTTTGATCAGGGACCATTTTACCAGGGACCACTATAATCAGGGACCACTTGACCAGGGACCACTAGACCAGGGACCACTTTGACCAGGCACTACTTTGATCAGGGACCATTTTGACCAGGGACCACTTTAATCAGGAACCATTTGACCAGGGACCACTTTACCAGGGACCACTTTAATCAGGGACCACTTGACCAGGGACCACTTGACCAGGGACCACTTTGACCAAGAACCACTTTGACCAAGGACCACTTTGACCAGGGACCACTTTGACCAGGGACCACTTTGATCAGGAACCACTTTGACCAAGGACCACTTTGACCAAGGACCACTTTGACCAGGGACCACTTTGACCAGGGACCACTTTGACCAGGGACCACTTTGACCAGGGACCACTTTGACCAGGGACCACTTTGACCAGGGACCACTTTGACCAGGGACCACTTTGACCAAGGACCACTTTGACCAGGGACCACTTTGACCAAGGACCACTTTGACCAGGGACCACTTTGACCAGGGACCACTTTGATCAGGCACCACTTGTCAAAGGACCACTTTGACCAGGGAACACTTTGATCAAGGACCACTTGTCCAGGGACCAATTTGACCAGGGACACTTTGACCAGGGACCACTTAAACAGGAACCACTGCACCAGGGATCACTTTGACCAGGGACCACTTAAGCAGGAACAACTTGACCAGGGCCCACTTTGACCATGGCCCACTTTGATCAGGGACTAATTTAACCAGGAACCACTTGACCAGGGACCAGTTTGACCACCGACCACTGGACCAGGGCCCACTTTGACCATGGCCCTCCCACTTTGTTCAGGGACCACTTTAACCATACAAAAAAGTATGGGGTCAGTCTCGATTCCGAAGTATTTGTTGTGGTCACACAAAAACGCTTCAGATATGGCTTCCAACTTACAAAACTTCCAATTTTCTTACGATTTTCGAAACTTCCATTGTTGTTGTTGTGTTTTTTTTTGCACAAGCCAAATACTTACCCCATGCGAAGGATAGGTGAGCCATCCCCAGTCGCCAATAATGGTGGACGTGTCCAGCAAGTTCACTGCCAAAACATAGAAAGAAAAGGTCTGTTAGATTGCCAGGATCCATTTGAACTGCGTTATGTGCTCAGTGTAGATTCACTTAGGACTTAAGTAGGAACAACTATTTTCCACACCCCCACTATGTACGTATTCTCCTATGTGGCTAAAAGACGAATGCCCTGAGATTCCAATACTTAAGAGTGCTTAGCAATATTTGGACATTACTATATGGCAAAAAAGACAAATACCCTGAGATTCCAATACTTAAGAGTCCTTAGCAATATTTGGACTTTCCTATATAGCTAAAAGACGAATGCCCTGAGATTCCAATACTTAAGAGTGCTTAGCAATATTTGGACTTTCCTATATAGCTAAAAGATGAATGCCCTGAGATTCCAATACTTAAGAGTGCTTAGCAATATTTGGACTTTCCTATATAGCTAAAAGATGAATGCCCTGAGATTCCAATACTTAAGAGTGCTTAGCAATATTTGGACTTTCCTATATAGCTAAAAGATGAATGCCCTGAGATTCCAATACTTAAGAGTGCTTAGCAATATTTGGACTTTCCTATATAGCTAAAAGATGAATGCCCTGAGATTCCAATACTTAAGAGTGCTTAGCAATATTTGGACTTTCCTATATAGCTAAAAGACGAATGCCCTGAGATTCCAATACTTAAGAGTGCTTAGCGGTGTTCGGACTTTCCTAAAAGAGAAATGCCCTGAGATTCCAATACTTAAGAGTGCTTAGTGATGTTTGGACTTTCCTATATGGCTAAAAGACAAATGACCTGAGATTCCAATACTTAAGAGTGCTTAGCGATGTTTAGACGTTCCTATATAGCTAAAAGATGAATGCCCTGAGATTCCAATACTTAAGAGTGCTTAGCGATATTTGGACGTTCCTATATAGCTAAAAGACGAATGCCCTGAGATTCCAATACTTAAGAGTGCTTAGCGATATTTGGACGTTCCTATATAGCTAAAAGACGAATGCCCTGAGATTACAATACTTAAGAGTGCTTAGTGATGTTTGGACTTTCCTATATAGCTAAAAGACTAATGCCCTGAGATTCCAATACTTAAGAGTGCTTAGCGATATTTGGACTTTCCTATATAACTAAAAGATGAATGCCCGGAGATTCCAATACTTAAGAGTGTTTAGCAATATTTGTACTTTCTAGGGCTGGGCAACCACAGAAAAATTTGTTTCTAAACTCGATTCGTTTTTAGGCGGTTTTTGCGTTTCATTTTTTAAAAGAATTCCAAAATTTTTCTTTAAAAAAGTTCGATATTTACGAAATTTCGGAAATTATGAAACAATTTCGAAACAATAACGAATCGATTCGTTAATGGCGGACGCGATTGCGCAATACGCTAAAAAACCTCCAAATGGGACAGGGGGAACTTCTGAAGCTTCCCTCTCCCTCTGTTGTTGACTGTTGGTGTGATAATTTATTTTTTATCACTGATAAAACAAACAACAACTATAAAACTTGCACCAGACATATGGAAATAATAACGAAATAATAATGAAACAATTTCGAAACAATTTCGAAACAATACGAAATAAATTTTAAAAATTCGTTTTGATTTTTAGTTGCTCCTGAATGGTTCAATATTGGATTGTAAGCTACTTTAAATACGAATTATTAACGAATTACGAAATTAACGAACGAAACCGCCCAGCCCTAGTACTTTCCTATGTAGCTAAAAGACTTTCCTATGGGCCAACCGATATAGATTAGCTGACAAACAGCAAAGAATCCCCAATACCTGGATCTATACAAAAAATAAAAATAGGGATCGGGGTGAACGCCTCCCTTCCATTGAAATATAGGCCTGGTGTTGAGAAACCCCCTCCCCAAATTGATATTTGAAGTACATGCATGAATTCTATGCCTCCCTGACTATTATCTGCATGCAGAACGCAACAGCAACTGTGGCGGAAGAATTGCAAAAAAAAAAATTACAAAGGCATTTAATAACGGAAGTGGGGGTCTCTCCGCTGACACGACATTGCTTGTTAATTGAAGTTGCTTTGATGGTTATCTCGGCACACGTTCCCTCTTATCGGAAAGAGCAGGAGCGGAGCGAGAAGGGGAGAATGCGGGGCTGGCTTTTCGCTCGACGCTTTTGCCGCCGCGATTGAACCCGTTAACGTTTCGCATCGGAAGCACTTGGGTCGTTCCCAAAGCCCAGCAGCTAAATAGGCCTCCGTTGAGATTCCCCACTCCTTTCCGTGCATTGTTGACCTTTGCAAACTGAATGGAGCCAGATGAAGGGGGAGATGGGGATATCCTTCAAAGACGAGGAAGGGAAGCTTAGGCGGATTGTGCCACTAAATCCCGGCATAAGACGGTCTTGTGAAGCTAAGGGTTGGCCACACACACAGCCATTCCTTTTTCCTATTTTCTGAAGCTTGTTTATCTGTTATTTTTACAGCTATCATGATGAAACTTGGCACATTTGTAGCCAATATTTACCACTTTAAGCCTGCCAAGTTTTGGAACGTTTCGGTCATCCACTGATTTTTTGGGAATTTAAAAAAAGATTTAAAGAAAAACACTACAAGAGGTGTCCCCTTGAATTTCTGCACAATGAGACAATATAAGCAGCACATCAGTCCTGCAAAGTTTCAGAAATATTCATTTATCTACTGATTTTTAGAAATTTTTAAAAGATTCAGAGATGTCCCATTTCAACTCGTAATTCAAATCTTCGAAACTTCGTAATTGTTTCATTAGCGGTAATAGGGAAAATTTTCTTGAATTTCTGCACAATGAAACAACATAAGCAGCACATCATTCCTGCAAAGTTTCAGAAATATTCATTTATCTACTGATTTTTAGAAATTTTTTAATGATTCAGAGATGTCCCATTTCAACTCGTAATTCAAATCTTCGAAACGTCGTAATTGTTTCGTTAGTGGTAATGAGGAAAGTTTTCTTGAATTTCTGCACAATGAGACAACATAAGCAGCGCATCAGTCCTGCAAAGTTTCATAAATATTCATTTATCTACTGAGTTTTAGAATTTTTAAAAAGATTCGGAGACGTCCCATTTTAACTCGTAATTCAAATCTTCGAAACTTCGTAATTGATTTTTTTTATATATGATTTTTATTAAACTTTTATAGAGTTACATAGAAAGAGGGGGAATATTTGAAAGAAGATAGAAAAGTAGGAATAATAGATTAACACCCACTCCCAACCAACAGTTCAAAAATCTATGTATACAAAAAAAAGAAAAAAAAAGAAAAAGAAAAAAACGAGAGAAAAATAGCTATATATAAAAAAAATTGTTTCGTTAGCGGTAATGGGGAAAATTTTCAAGGCTCATCTCTCTGTCGTTGTTATGGCTATCCATCTGAAATCTGGCTCACTTGTAAGCAACATGGACATCTTTAAGTCTGCCAGTTTTCAGGATGTTTCAATCATTCACCTATTTTCAGGAATTTTAAAGGAGTATATATATATATATATATAAATACTACAAGCGGTAGCTCCTTGAAATTCTGCAAAGTGAGGCAACATAAGCAAGGCAGAAATCCTGCAAAGTTTCAAAAATATTCATTTAACTACTGATTTTTAGAAATTTTTAAAAGATTCAGACATGTCCCATTTCAAAATTCGTAATTCAAATCTTCGAAACTTCGTAATTTTTTCGTTAGCGGTAATGGGGAAAAATTTCAAAGCTCATCTCTCTGTCGTTGTTATGGCTATCCATCTGAAATTTGGCACACTCGTAAGCAACATGGACATCTTTAAGTCTGCCAATTTTCAGGATGTTTCAATCATTCACTGATTTTCAGGACATTTTAAAAGTTTTTACAATTTTTTCTAAAACAAAAAACACTACAAGAGGTATTTTCTTGAATTTCTGCACAATGAGACAACATAAGCAGCACACCATTCCTGCAAAGTTTCAGAAATATTCAATTATCTACTGATTTTTAGAAATTTTTAAAAGATTCAGAGATGTCCCATTTCAAAACTCGTAATTCAAATCTTTGAAACTTCGTAATTGTTTCGTTAGCGGTAATGGGGAAAATTTTCAGGGCTCGTCTCTCTGTCATTGTTATGGCTATCCATCTGAAATTTGGCACACTTGTAAGCAACATGGACATCTTTAAGTCTGCCAGTTTTCAGGATGTTTCAGTCATTCACCTATTTTCAGGAATTTTAAATACACACACACACACACACACACACACTACAAGCGGTGGCTCCTTGAAATTCCGCAAAGTGAGACAACATAAGCAAGGCAGCAATCCTGCAAAGTTTCAAAAATATTCATTCATCCACTGATTTTTAGGATTTTTTAAAAGATTCGGAGGTGTCGCATTTCGACTCGCAATTCGAATTTCCAAGGCTTCGTAATTTTTTTGTTAGTGGTAATGGGGAAAATTTTCAAGGTTCATCTCTCTGTCATTGTTATGGCTATCCATCTGAAATTTGGCACACTTGTAAGCAACAGAGACATCTTTAAGCCTGCCAATTTTCAGGACGTTTCAGTCATCCACTGATTTTCAGGAAATTTTTAAAAGTTTTTACAAATATGTTTTTTTTTAAAAAAACACTACAAGAGGTATTTTCTTGAATTTCTCCACAACGAGACCACATAAGCAGCACATCAGTCCTGCAAAGTTTCATAAATATTCATTTATCTACTGATTTTTAAAAATTTTTAAAAGATTCAGAGATGTCCCATTTCAACTCGTAATTCAAATCTTTGAAACTTCGTAATTGTTTCGTTAGCGGTAATGGGGAAAATTTTCAGGGCTCGTCTCTCTGTCATTGTTATGGCTATCCATCTGAAATTTGGCACACTTGTAAGCAACATGGACATCTTTAAGTCTGCCAGTTTTCAGGATGTTTCAGTCATTCACCTATTTTCAGGAATTTTAAATACACACACACACACACACACACACACACACACTACAAGCGGTGGCTCCTTGAAATTCCGCAAAGTGAGACAACATAAGCAAGGCAGCAATCCTCCAAAGTTTCAGA